TTCCTGATTCCAAAAGATGATCCCACATTTACTGCAGAGGTCTGAGGTCTCCTGTAAACAAACTATGTTCATTATTGTACAAGAAGGGCTCACTCTCTGTCTTTACTGACTATAAAATGTAAAATGTTTTCCCAGAAGGTGAAACTATTTATATGAATAGTTGAAAAAAAACTGTTAATCTTAGATCGTGACGCTTAGCGACATAGCTGGTCAAGCCCTTTCCATAGGGTTTAGCAGTGGTAGTTCTTACATGAATGGCTCCCAGGTCCAACGTTTCCCTGTGCATCCAATCCCCTTTTTTTTTGTTTTGTTTTCACATTTATATCAGCTTAATTAACTGTAGTACTACAGTAAAATTACAATCAGTGCAGTTTGTGTTAAACAAGTCAAGGAGTCAAACTCTAAGCTGAAAAGTATTTAGTATTACAAGACCGTTTTTTTTTTTTTTTCCATTACTGCCTTCATGCCACTTAAACCTAAAACCTCTTCACCACTCTGATCCTATCACTTCTGTGCTTACATCCTTTATCTTGAAATAGCACCGCAGTGTCTTGAAGGATATCAAAGTGGGGTGAAATGAATTGGGAATATTTAAAATGCAAATAAATTCTCTTGTTTCAAAGACAGCAATATCAGAAGGTTTGGGAATGGTGGGAGAGCACTGCTCATCTCTGTCGGTGAAGAATTTCCTTCATCCCCACGAAACTCCTCAAGATATAGCTGAAGTGCAGGATTTTGACACTTTTGAAGTAAAATGATAATTGCCTTTAAAGATGAAGGAGGGAAAAGAGAGAGGAGATGAAGGATAAAAGGTTGGAAGTAAAGTGAACATCAGGGTGGTGAGTCGGGAAGCAAAGAGACAAGCTGCATAAATAGTCATGAAATTGCAACTTTTTGACTCGTATTGAAGTTGAGAAAGAAACATTCAGCAAGAGGCCAGCAGGCCAGACTAAATAATCCTTGACGCAGCCTCTCAATTCAAGTCTGTTCTTAGCAGACAAGATTTCAATGTAAATATGCTATTACTCTATCATTATGGTGATCTGATTGCATGGCTTACAGGTCAGCCCATCCACTGTTAATTTTACATGCAAACGCTTTTTTTTTTTTTTTGTCTTTTGAAAAAAAGATCATGCCGATATTAACTTCTATTAGTTAATATAGCGTGACTAAAATTCAGATTAGACATAATTTATTTTAATATCTGTGTCTAGCTCGGCTGACCATTTAGAAACGGTCTTCCGCTGAATATATCACTCGAATTGGGATAATTTGCACTGAATGGTTGAGACACGCCTCACTTCACTGTTGTGGTGGTGTGAAGTCAAGGATGATTCATTCTTGCTCCTTCAGGTAAAACAATCTACAGTTGGTAAATTTATCCATCACATTTAACACATTAGATTTCTACACAGCTGCAGCCATGTGCTTGTCAAATTCAATAAGGCCTTCTTGAGGTGTATTTGTTATAATTTAAGATTAATGCCCAGATGCACTGAAAAAAAACAATTTTGATTTTTGTGTCGTACATATTTGGAGAGTAAAATAAACTCACTTACTTACACTCTGCAATGTGTTTCAGGCCTTTCTTCTACAAGGTGCTTTAATGTACTATGCACTCGGCACAATTTATGGCTGCTTTATAATTTTACCCTGCTCAAATATATTACATATATCAGAAACCAATTTCATACGTAATATTCTGGTAAATGTTTATCAACGTATTCAGTGGACTGTTTCTCCCAAGTGCTTTTTCCTGAGACTGTAAAATTGTATTGACATTTTACTCAGCACTGAATAAATTTCACAATAAAATTTTAAATCAAGCAGTTGTTAAGGTATCTTTTTCAATAAGCTGCAACCTGTTAATTCATGTGTTGTTATGTTTTATTTGAAGTTATACCTCAATGATTTTTTTTTGTTTATCTTTTTGTCACAGCCAATGAGTCAGGTTGTGACACGTTTTCCATAATCGCAATATAAATCTAATTTTGTTTATTTTTCCTCCAAACCTTGGACATGTTTAGTGACTTTCTTTTGTTTGGATTTACAGCACATCAGAATCCAGACATCTCAAAAAAGGCCAGCACCTGAAAAAAACAAACAAAAAAAAAAAAAAGTACAACTTGTCATTTCATGATCACTTGAGGGCAAATAAATTTGCTGTTGGAGCACAAAATCAGACTTCCTTAGAGCTCAGCTAGAGATGTAGGTAACTTAGAGAAGAAGCATGGGACAGCTTTGAGAAAATCAACTGCTTAAAGTAAGGCACTCCTACAATTTACCTCTCTCTCTTGGTTATGGTGTGAGACGATGAGTCAGAAATAATGTTTTATACTATTAATTCTCCTCACTCAATTATTTGGTCCTCAAATGAATGTTTATTAGAGTCAGAATTTGATGGTGATTTGATGGAGAGCCGGCCCTTTCTAAATGCCAGTAACCTTGAAATAAAAGATTCATTTTGAATTAGCTAAGACAATATTTTGCATGCTACTTTTCTTCCCCGATTGCTGTAAAAGTAGTTTGTGGAGTAGATTTAGCATTGGTCTTTGTTTTGTTTTGTTGTTTTTTGTTTTTGTTTTTATGTTTTATGTTTGTGTATTTAATTGCATCATTAGAAACTAAACAAAATGTGGTAAATCACTGATTACATTAAATCTTAGTTTGCAGTGTTTTTCTTAAAGTCCTTAATTGAAGTATGATCATTTTGTTTGATGTCGTATACATTTTAACCTGAATAATATCCAGAAATCCCATTGCTTCTTTACATTTTTATTGAATATAGAAGGAAATGATGTGTAGTTTAAATAGATTTTGACCGCCTTGTTCATTTATAGTAATAGTTTATCATAGCTTTCTTGCCCTACAGATTTCATTCATTTAATAAATGTACTTTAGTGAAAACATCCCAAATTCTGTACTTCATGTTTGGTTGTTCAAGCTAAAAAATTCTGTTCAATTAATCTTTTTTTTTTTTTTTTCTTCACCAACATAGCCGGTGGAATAGAGTGACAGTCCACTCTCAGCGGCAGAAAGTGGGTGTTGAGGATAGGAGAAGTCCAGCTGATTGGAAACATCTGGGTGATTGTAGGGAGCACTCCCACATCATCCAGCGTTGGCTGAGATTTGACAGTGCCCTCTGAAGTGACAGCTTTGACCTCGGCCAGTGTGCATGCACGCAGCTGCCAGAGACGCGGTCTGCTTGGAAAAAAGAGAGCGGACAGAGCCAGACGCTCTAGGCACTAGATGGTACCGCTGCTCTTGATGGGAGCTCTGCTGACAGCCAACGTTTCAGCGGGGGTAAAATACAACCAGCTTGTTCGTGCATTTGGAACCAAAAAAAAGTGACCATGCAACAGCTTTCAGAACACTGAAGGCACATTTTTCTTCCAATGTGTGCCAAAATATTTCATTTTCCATCTGATCTGTTGCTGTCTGCTTTTTGTTTTGTTAAAGAAAAAGCTAAAAATATATAGTGTGAGAATATTATAGCATCCTACGGCACAATGCTAATGAAATATAATCCATGTTTTGTTTTTCATAAGACAATGTCATGTAAAGATATTCAATAAATTAGACCAAACAAGCTTTTCATTTAAGCATTTAAGCTTCTTTTAAATGAACTTCATGCTTCTTGAATATCTTTTAACATTTTTCTTTGTACATTGGCTGCTTAATTCTTTTATTATTTTTTTTTTCTTGTTTTTGCATTTATTTAAATTCATCACCCACTGAAATAATAAAGTTGTAGTAAACTGAAGAATAAATATCTTTTTTTTAGATGGTGGCAGTATTTTTTACATTTTCATAAATAAGAAATAAACTAATTTTGTGTCTGGCTAATGGCAATGAAATATCTAAGAAGCCAGTTTACAATAAAGTCTGTTTAGTTCTGTGCTTTAAGGAGAGAAACATTAGCTAAAGCATAGAGCTGACAGTTTTAATGACTACAACTACCGTATATTTTACCCAATATCTTTTGGGGGATAGGCTAAGATTGATTATATTGATTTTTGTGCAGATCAGAAAATAAATATGGAAATAAAAGGCTACAGCGTGACGCCAGATTCACCATGCGACCATGGCCACACCCCTTTGACAGACATTTCAGAAGACAGTTACATCAACCTATCTTTTGTCACAGGGCACAGTTTCATATTGATTAGGTCAACAGGGTCTATTATGGACCTTTCAAAGTACAACATGACACTTCCTTTTCTCAGGGGTTGGGGCTTTAGTGATGTCACCATTTGACCATGACGTTTTCTTAGGGAGTTTATGATGACTATTGACTGTATGTTTTGTGCCACTGACTTTCTTTGCAGGACTTACATGAATTATTTTATTTTATTATTATTATTATTATTATTATTTTTTATCTTTGGCGGTCTGGCCCTAGGAGAAAACGCCTGAAGAAACGTCTTCTTCCATGGACCTGGACATTGGTGGTGGAAGGATAGTGAAGAACTGAAGGGATATTGAGGAAGTGAAGAGTCAATGACAGAGAAGGGGTGGAGGTGGAATAGATATGAGATCTGGCCTTATGATGATTGGACGAGATGAGGAGAACACCAGCACTGATAGGCTGGGAAAGAGAGGCATGATGAAGCGATTGGCTGAGCAGGTGAGATGAAGAGAGTCTTGCCATTTGAATTTACAGTAGGCTTCATTTCAAGCAAAAATGGCCAAATTTGTTGCAGAGCATGGGAGAAACTTCTGTGTTGACTGTTTGACTGGATAAGAGTGGGTGAGAGTATCCAGCCAAGCAGTCAACCCATTAGTTCTTGCACCTAATGGGTTGAAGCTAACAACAGGGTCAGTGCAACCCTGCCAGGACTGTGCAAGGGGAACTGACGGAAGTATAATGAGACACTAGAAAATTTCTGAAGAAATTTAAATGAGGCCTGGCAACGTGTGCACATCAGTTGGAACCCAGCCTTCTGATGCTAAAAACCAGCATCAATGTTAAAGTAACCAGCAATGTACTCAGTAGCATGTGGAGAGCCACAAGAATGTTGAGCAATACGGGCTTAGTCCATTCAGTATGATAAAATTAGTGTATAAGCTAAAATGAGCCAAAATGCTAATGTTAGCCGAAATGCTACCAGTGGCATGTGGGGTATAACTAGCATGTTGTCTTACATTGACTTCCTTAATTGAGTGTGCTAAACATGGCTAAACAAAAACAGAAAAGTGAAAATGTTTTTTTTTTTTTCTTTTTTTAATTATTATTATTTTGTCATTGGTGGTGAATACATTATAAAACATTCAAACCTGTTCATACTTTGTGGCAGTTTGTTACTAAAAAAAAAACAAAAACGTTAATCTCTTGACACCAATCTAATAAGTAATATTATTGTTTACAAAACATAAGCTATTTTGAAATAATGCTTATCTGCTTAGACAAGAAAATTACAGTTGGCAAATTTTGCAAAACTAAAAATTTACTAAGTTTACTTTGTGGCACTTAGTTACCAGAAAACTCGTTCATCTCTTAGCAACAGATTAACAACAAATATTGTTATTGTTCAAAAAACTTGAGTTCTTCTGCTCTTATGAAATAGTACTGATCTTATACTACTTGCTACTTAAGAATTGTGTAGTTAGTGAATTTTGCAAAAAAAGTGTTTTTTTTTTTTTTTTTTTTGGCATTGGTGGTACATATATCATAAAACATTCAACACAAAAGTAAAGGATCTGAATAATACTTTGTGGCATTTTGTTACCAGAAAAAAAAAAAAAAACAAAAAAAAACCGCTAATTTCTGAACACCAAGAACACTCTTGTTTATAAAACCAATCATATTTTGAATTACTATTGATATGCTTAGACACAAGAAATTTACAGATTGTAAATTTAGCAAAAATAAAAATCAGATATTTTCTTTGTGGCACTATATTTGCAGAAAACGCGTTCATCTCTAAGCAACATATTAACAACAAATATTGTTATTGTTCAAAAAACAAGATTTCTCCTGCTCTTTTGAAATACTTATCTTATACTACTTACTACTTAACAAGAATTGTGCAGTTGGTGATTTTTGCCAAAAAGTGAAAGTATATATTTTTTCTTTTGTCATTGGTGGTAAATATATTGTAAGACATGTATACTTTTCTGTACTAAGTGTTCCGCCAAGGTGGTGTCTCTGTAGTCTCTGTAACTGGAAGCTCTGCCCTCCTCTGTATGAACTGAGTGTTCCGCCATCTCTGTAGTTCTCTACATCCCTGCCCTCCTCAGTGTTCTGTTGCTATGGTGATTAATCCTCTGAAAACTGTCATGTGTGAGTGAGACACAGAGGGGGAGACAAATTCTAACTCTGTTCTGAGCCTGACACAAAACAGTGTCAGTTAGAGTTTGTTTTGATTTGAATTTGGCTTGCCATCGAGTAACTCGCCATGGTTACTCGAAATGCCAACAGAAGTAATAGCCCGCGTGCCGAGATCCAGCTGCATGTTTTGATTGTGGGGGAGCATGCAGCGGTACAAGCCGCATTAACGGTGAAAGGAAGTGACAGTTATTTAGAGTAATAGTTAATATCTCTCCTATGCATTGCTATGGAAGGCCCTAACAACCAAAAAACAATAGGCCTTTGCAGTGCTCACACATCAACCAGACACTTTTTGTCCTCAAAATTGCTGTTCACTGGATTTTTTTCTGTTTTTCAGACCATTCTGAGTGGAAATCTCAGTAAACCAGCAGTATCTGATATACTCAGACTAGCCCCAAACAACCAAGGCACAAAGTAACTTTCTTGACCATTTTGAAATGAGTTTGAACTTCAGCAAATTGTCTTCATTATGTCTAAATGATTTGAGTTTCTATTACAATGTGGTTACAGTATCAAATGGACAAAAAGGGGACAGTTTTATTTAAATGAGTACAATGGAGTAATAGGGCAATAAGAGTTAAGTCTGGAAATATATTACGAAAACAGAAAAAAAAAATTTACTGCGGAGAAAGAATTTCTGATTTGCTGAAAGCAATCTACAAAGAAACAAGGTACATAGCTAGCACAATACAGCAGAAGATTAGGACATACATGCATACAGCTCAGCGAAAGACAGCAAACTGCGGGCAATTAATTATAATTAGTGACACATGTCATGTTTTCACAGTTATTGTTGCATGTGTCATTTCCAGATTTGAAACCTTTAGCAATACAGCTTTGTTTCCTCGTTATTTTTGCAAAATCTGGCATATTGAAACGTGTCATTGGATATTTCAGTTCAACCTCGCCACATAATGACATTAATATTAATGCATATGGTAATGAAGTTTCCCGAGCAGGAACACTTATTCATATTTGATTCATTAATGTAATGAATGCACAGAATGATCAGATAATATGTTCTTGTGTCCTTGATATGCGACACGGAGAATTAGACTGCCTTAAATTTGAGATAGGTGTGCCTAAGCTGTATTAATCTGTCCTAGAATATATAAGCCATAAACTGAGCAAGGAGAAAAAAAAAAGCAAAAAAAAAAAAAAAAAATGTACAATGTTTTAGATTAAACAAAACAGTGTGAAATGGAGTTCATTTACTTCACCCTCCTCTTTTCAGAGGCACTAAACTGCTTACCATTATTCAAAGATATCTTTTAAATAAGGCCCAAATATGCGGGTGAAACCAATTTAACGAGTGGCCACCAAAGTCGTTTGTCAAATGATCTATATTGAGATTTTGACTGTGTAAGCCTCTTATCATAACTGCTATAAAACACACATCATTCTGTTTCTGCACTGAATTTTAGAGATAGGAAAATACAATAAATGTGACATTTTAAAGCTTGGGCTTACTTGTTAATTAGGAAACCATTTAAATTTGAACTTGGGCGAACTTAGTGTGTGAGTTTGTGTTCAGGAATGAGATTCTCACATGGAAAGGGAGAAAATCCTAGAAGATGTGCTCCATAAGAGATCAGCGAGTCATTTGATTAAACTGCTAGAAAAGTTTAATCTCAGGTGTTTTTCTTTTTCTTTTTCTTTTTTGAAAATTACTTTCTTTTTTTAAAGGACACAGAACAACTTCCCTTTCAATTTTCTATCATTTCTCAGAAAGTTATGTGTGCATAGAAACATTTAATAACAACACAACGTTCACAAAAAAGAAATCAAATTTGTATAAAGCAGTGAGGACATTAGTCCCTTGAAAGAGCTTAATTACACTAAAGGAAAATGGCTTAACATGTTTTATGTATTTGGTTCTACATCACCAACAGAAAAAAAAAATGTTTTTGCCTTCCTTTAACCAACACCTGCCTGTAGCCAGATGCAACATGAATCTTCTAGTTAAATCTTGCAGTGTCTTGCAAAAGTATCCATGCGATATTGAAAGGACTGTTAAATTTGTAAACCACATTTTCCATATTATAGGAGTCCTTTCTGCAATTAAATTACTGAAAGGGCTTACTTTTAACTGAATACTTTTACTTTTTACCAATATATCACAATGGCTACTTAGGGAAGAGTACTGATAAACCTTGAACTGTTACATATTGGCTTATATGGAACTGCAAAACAAAAAGTCTTACAGTTTTCTTTCAACAATGCCATTTTCCTTTACACTTTCCCATGAAGGCCACATTTACAAAGTAGATGAATAATAATTGTTCTGCTGACAGAGTCTCACTTGATAAGTGGATCTCTGCAGCTCCTGCAACGTTCCCATGGGCCTCACAGCTGCTTGTCTAAATAATGGTCTCCTTGCCTAGCCTGTCAATATATGTGGATGGCCATGTGTTGGAACCCTGCTTTCAACGTTTTATCAACTGTACCGCTTATCCATCTTTTGTGTTCCTTGGACTCCGTGATGCTGTTTGTTCACTAATATTATATAATAAACCTCTGAGGCGTTCACAGAACAGTTCAACATAAGGTTTAATTGATACACAAAGTTGGATTCCACTTACAAAGTAGCTGACTTTAGAAGACAAATGGCTATTTTGCGGGACAGCCACAGTAAATAGAGGAAAAAAAAAACATCAAATATATCATTTTTATATTTATTTGTTAAATATTTTTAAACCTGTATATCCTTTTTCTTTATTTATTTATTTTTTATTTTTTTTGCATATGTTGACTTGTCAGATGAATGCCTGATAAAATAAACAGGAGTTTATACAAACATGAGAAAATGTGAGAGACAAGAATATAGCTGGAAAAACATATTTAGCCAGCATCCTGGTACATTATATTATAAGTCAGCTGTTTCAACAATGTAAGTGGACAAGCTGTCGCTAAAGAGCTCCTCTAATATTGGGGGGAAAAATGTGGAAGCAGCTACTTTGGATGATTGAGCAAAATAAATTTTTTAAGGATATTAACAGGAAAGCAGTTGATAAAACAAAGAAACAGTTTTCATTAAATTTTGGACTGGAACAAAATACCACTAAACAAATTACAGAAATCCAATATTTGCTGCACTTTGTGTTTCTACACTTCCAGTGTCGTGCAGCTTATTGGACTCTCTGTCTACTTCAGTAAACACTGCACACTCCACACACTGCGTGGTAAAGATGGATGAGCAACACTCCTCGGTTACTACAGCCACATTTATTTAGAAACAGTGGGGAGAGTTTTGGAGGTGAGGAATAATTCTAGCCAGCGGTTGGCGCCCAGTTTGAGAAAGAGGAGGAGGACCACCATGGGGCATCTGACAGTGATGAAGAGCATGGGCACATGCTGGCAGATTCATCTTGAGCCATAGTGAGAAAGAGAAGGGGGGGTGTTGGGGAGAGATGGAGCTCAGGGGGGAGGGCAGACAATGGCTGAACACAGGTTTAACAATAAAAGCAGCACAGAGTAGTGTTTTCTTTGAGGTTTGCTTTTCGGCAGAGAGTGCTGTAACTCTCTGCAACCTGCTGGAAACGGCAAGGCGCAGAGAGGAAAGAGCGAGGGGGGGCAGACGAAGGGAACTCAAGATTTTATGTGACTCACGAATTGACACAACGCTTTCAAAACATTACCTGCTACTTCCCCGGTGTTGGTCAATTACCTGTCACTCTACAATTCTTTTATTCCCCTTCTTCCGCCACTGTGTCCCCAGTGTGGGACCGCGATGGGGTCAATGCTGATCACAGTCTCTCCAGCCGGCTGTCAGACAGGAGCCAAGATGTATGCTGGGAACCCGCGGATGCAAACGAGTGCATGCCTTTGATGACTTGAGAGATGCACCCCTCTGGTTTGTATTCATGCTTTCAAGCTGCCCTCTGCTGTTCGCATTCCCAATGACAGGAGACTGAGTGGAAGGATTCCTCAATGTTTACCGTCATCAAACAAGTTTGACGAGAGAATTCAAAAACAACCTTTCACTTTCAATGCTGTTCCTTGCCTTGTAAGCTCCTGTTTGACTTTTGACTGACCATAGTGAGCTTGTCTTTCTTCCCTTTTCCATTTATCTTTGTTAAAGTTCTATTACCATGTGCAAGGATAGTTATAAAGCAATCAAAGGACATATGTGAAGGGGTTATTATAGCTTTTTTTTTTTTTCATAAATGATCGCAAAGATGTCAATGCAAGCTTTAATGGCGGGCAAGAGGCGTGGAGGTGAAGCTAGCATTATATGTGTCTGATTAGGTCCCTGCCTATAAAGCTTTTAGTTACCCTGAACAGCTAAAAGCTGAGAGGATTCACTGATTAGTGGCTGTTTTGAGAAAGAACCTATAAAATAGGTGCCGGGTTCAAAGTGATTTACTTTCTTCTTATTTTAACTATTTTTATAAATCATTATTCTCTTTGTGTCAAAAAAAAAGAGAGAGAGAGAATACATGTGGACTACACATACGCAGCTTCATTTAAATGAATTTGATTTACAAAAAAGAAAATCAATCTTCCCTCTTTTTAACCAATTTATCTTGACCTCACGGCATGAAAATTAAGCCTTTTCCTCCTGCCTGACAATTAGATTATTACTGTTATTCTCTGAAATGTGCAGGCCGAATGATAATAAGTTTCTGAAATGCAAGTGGCCCATATGCTAACAAGGGCAACGTATTTCCCCTTCCCATTAACATATCATCTGAATTCAGTTACCTGACACAATTGCAGAGATCAACAGTGTTGATGTGTCAGCTCTGCCTATGTGTTGGCTTGTAGAAAAAAAAAATCGCCTGTGCCATGAGTCAAGTGGATGTTAATGCCCCCACAGACCCACGTCAGTCTGATTTCCCCTCATAAAGCAGGAGTGCATTTGTGCAAAAGCTCTCCTTACATCTTTTTAAGAGAAAATTGTGGAGTTTAACCTGCTAATATTATCTTTCCTCCTTCCTTTGTGCAGGGAACACACGTATATCCACAAGGAATTTGGCACAGTCCACCCAGTCAAGACGCTGATAATCCAAAGTCTTTGACTGCTGATAAGGCAGCCAATTTAACATAATTATAAACCAGCTGCATGAATAGTAACGATTCATTAATTTACCACATAGTGCTGGATGATAATTCTGATCTAGCATTCACTCCCAATTATCACTCATGATAATGATTTCATTAAATCCTGCTCAGTTTTTTTTGGCATTATAAACCTAATTGCAGAAAATACAGTTTAACATAATAAAACTGGAGGCTGTAAAATAAACGGTGTTGGCTCCATAAAGGGAGCATTAGAGAGGTGAGGTTGACAAATAGCTCTCAAAACAAATGCTGTTGACCAACAGTATTATTACCTCCACACTTAATTACTTTTTGCTTTTTGATTTAATTGCTTCAATAAAAATAATCTATATAGCTTTTTAAATTACACTTTCCAAGTGACCCATGTAAAGAGAATTTTATTATGTGCACACGGTAATTACCCTGTCACAGTCCAGTTAGGGGCTATTGTCTGGCTATGCTGTCTAGCTGTTATTGGCGTGACCAGCATGCTCAACTACCTATTTACAGAGCTTATAAGTTTTCAATAATTGCTCAAAATGCACAACAGAGGCACATTTGATTGTATTTTGAGAGAGAAATTGTATCGGTTTCTGAAATATTTCAAACGTCAGAGGTATATTATTATTTTTTTTGTTGAAGAATTACTTTACTTTTTGTAAAACCCGTGGATCAAAATGGAAACAGGAAACCCTAATTGTAATAAAATTCCTTTAATTAAGTAGTTGCGGGTGCAGTGTAATGTGTATGTTTCTAATGAGCTGCTAAAACACACAAAATGGCTCAATGATATTATGCTCCATAATTATTTGGAGTTCTGTTTGGTTGATCCTGCAATTAGAAAGCTGCACATAAGCTGTAAATGATTTCCGACAGCTTGTCACAGCAGTG